ATAAAATAATATTAATATAATAATATAAGATTATAAATATAAAAATGCTTTCTATATGCATTCAGAGAGGCAGCCCAAAAGTGATTAACTCTGCTGTGTGAGATACAGTCCAAGACAAAGTGATGATGATGATCTTAAATGATGATGACTTGATGATCTTAAAGGTCTCTTCCAACCTAAAGGATTCTCTGAGTCTATATTAAAAATAACATGCTTGAAATAATATTAAAAATAAAAAGCATGTCTGTCATTTGGCTTTTAAATCAGCATTTTAAGTGGTCCATCATGTCCTGAGTGTGGACACAGCATCATAAATGTATTTATGAGGAGCTGCTATGCACAAACACACTTGTTATTGTTGTTTTCTCTTGTCTGAGGGAACTCCACAGATAACATCCAGTCCCTCTTTTAAAATGCAAGTGGAAATAAACATTGACTGTATTTATTCCTAATGACCTGACTTTAAATCAATAAGCAATGCCCTTTGGTGCTCCCCGTTGCTGCTGCTGCCAAAAAAGATGCAGGACCCAGCAACTCAGTGCCTGTGCTAAATTAGGTGTTTGAGCTGCTAATTTTATTTCTCTTAGGAAGCTTGAAGTGCTTCAGGAAACAGGAGGTTGTGCTTTAAGTGGCACTGCAGTGAGCAAGGTGCCCAACAGTGCTCCCACATCATAGACATTTTGAGATGCTCGTTTTCTAGGCTGAATTTACAGGTTTAATATTGGATGAGAGACAAGGAAAATGTCATTTACTCACTGACACCCAGGGATGGCTTAGGATTTGTGCTGCTGTGTATCTGGCTTCAGCATTCACATGTAGCATCAGGCTGATTAACTCCTTTAGTAAAGAAGGAAAAAGAGAAAGAAGAGTTTGAGGGGAGTGGGGAAGGATATTGCAATGGAAAATATTGCACCAAGTTCTTCTCTGTGCCATTTTCTTGCTATCTGAAATGAAAAAAAGAAAGCTCACACTGACAGCAGAATCACTGACACCAGGGTGAGTTTAGAACAACAAAAATGTACCCTTTAGGTTTAAGAGTATAATGGACAGAGTATGATGATTTCACATCAACTTCCTTATTGCATTCCTGTTTCTCTGGGTCTTTTGAAACCAGAGGAAAAGAAAATGTTCAAAAAAACCCCTCTATAATGTTCCAGTTTGTTCTTTATATGTTTAGGTGAGCAGAATGAAAACAAAGCCAGGATTTGTATGGGCAGTGTACAAGCACATGGGAACAGTACTGGAAGGGCACAAATCAGAGGCAAGAAACTGCATCTGAAAATCAAGAAACTGCTGGAATTATTTGAAAATGATGTTTTCTTCAGTGTTGATCCAGAAGAATAAAAGACTTTGAACTCATTTCATCATCTATGGATCTCCTGGTATAGGAAAAAGCAGATAAATACAAGGAGAAAAATGCTTCATTCTACTGATTTATAGGGTTAGTCCCAAAAGATTTGGTATTGTGGCTTCCATCCTATTTTAGAGGCTCTAGATACCTGTACCTTTATCAAACACTCCCATGGGCTTTCTGTTCATGGTGCCACAGAGAGGATGAACCTATAAACCTTAAGAGGTCATTGACACAAAGCAGTCAGTGAAATAAAATCTTTTCAAAGCCCCAAAAAAAGCCCAAATCAACTTTCTTCAGTTATTTATTCATTCACCTTTCTTTTTATGCAATTAACAACTCATTTACTGATGTAATTCCTGGTTCTACAAGCCAAATAGGTCCCTCTCCCAGATAAAGAAATTCTTGGAGCCTAAATCCCCTCCTTGAAAAACCTTTTACAGCCTCCCAATTGCCACTCTTCATATTCTTATCAAGAGGCTTTCAAGGAGACTGTTCATCACTTCATTTTTGGGAGCTGATGGCTTCTTCAGGCAGGTAACAGCCCACCTACCTGAGAGGCTTCCCAGCCAGCCAAGTTATTCAGTCTGTGCAAGCCTGAAGTGAAAGGTCACCTTTAATATCAAGTTTGAGAGCCCTGTTTGTTCAGCATGCCCATCTGGAAGAGTGTGAGGTGACCAGAGCTTGGGAAATGTTGGCAAATGAATAAACAGCCACTGTGAAATGCAGAAGAAAAAGTGCAGCTTCTCATCAATAGTCTCCACTTGCTAATTAGAGTGCTCAGATATCACTCAGAGCACAAGGCTGAACTAGCTTGAGAAGTGGGGCTTAAAAAGTTAGAACCTTTATCCTCCAGACACAGTTTTAAATACAAGTGGCAATGCTAATGCCAGGCAATGGCTAATTAAGCTGGCTGCACCTCTTGAAAAGGTTTAATTGGCTCCAGTGAAATAGGTCAAATGATGTCAATTCATTCAGGGCACACAGCAATAACTTTTCTTTTAAAAAAAAGAGTGATAAGAGGGAAAAAAATCAGAAATAGAGATAGATAGAAAACTTCTATTCTGCCTTTCCAAGTCAGCACAGTATC